TTTAATAGGTATCATGAAGTAGGTACTCGTACAAGAAATGGTTCTACCAATTAAATGACTATTGATCACCCCATTTAAAATACTTAAATATTCAAAAAATATAAAACATATTAGTTGATAGTTATCTGAATAGAGTATTTATACCTACCATGAAGTAAAATGTGACAAGAAAAGGGTAGGAAATTACAAACTAAGCTGGGATCCTCATTGAACGTGGCCTAACAATTATCTTATAGTAAAAGATATTGGGTACCTTTACTATCAAATATTTTAAAGTATTATTATTTAGTTTATTGTAATTGGCGATAGAAAGTGTTAAGCTCTAACGGGCACACTACCACATTGTGAATCATTTGTATCAGACCACTCCCCGCCGGCCTAAACATTGATAAGCTTTCTATCGCCATAGTGACTTCAATTGTTTTGCAAATGACGCCTCTAAAATATAATAACACGGTTATTAACACATTTTTAATTTCATCCACGTAAACTATAAAAACTAGCTTAATAATATTGGACCACTGTGTTGAAATTAGACATTTCTATTGTTGATAATTTTCTTATTACAGTACTACATTCATTGATAGTGTTAGATTTGTAGAGCTGGACTGCTGGGTCTTATACTCGTATACCTACGTAACGAAGGTTTATATGCATTGGTGAAAATAGGGGAATGCAAAACGGTCTTTGCATCCCGAAGTTCAAATTTAGCACTCATTGTTTAATGTCTAACTATTAGTATAGTGAAATACAATAAATTGAATGTTTTTTAATTATAAACTATTTGCCGTCCACTTTTTTTTTAAATGTTGGCCATAACTTATAATATTAATTTATTATAAATACACACATATTCCTATAATTATTGTTAGACAATCAGCATTAAGGCACACATTTCTAATGAGCAGTGTTATACCGATGTGTCATATTAAAAAGCACTATATTGATGTACCTACGCTGTGGTGAACTATGTAATACCCATTTACTGGTAAGCCCTCGTGCATTTTATATTAATTATAAACATTTTATAGTGCACATGTTAATAGATTATTAATATAGAGAGCATTATATATCTATAGGTGCTCATAATATTTGTTTTTACCATTAATATGAAGTATGTAATTATGAGTATAAAAAGTTTTAAAGTATCGATTATAATTTTAAACAAGAATATTCATTAAAACTAGTTAGTAGATACACATAATATTATAATTTTAGTAGTAGATGGTGGGCTTAGTTTAGGATCTCCTCGTCGTCCTCAGCATCACTTCGTCGGCCGCGGCATCTCCTCGTCGTCCGAGGCATCATTGATCATCTAACTAAGAATTAATATGTTTAGTATTCATTACATTCAAAACATGCAACGAGCTAAGCTAATAAATTGATAATGGTTTTTTTCTTATTTTATTGTTCACCTTCGTCGTCGTCAGGTATCATACAACACTGTATTACACCAGCTACAATCCTTAAAATAATAAATAATAATTATAATAAGTTTTATACAACATCAACAAAGTTTTGAAGTGAAACGTTTTTATCAAAATATCTATAAATCTTTACCTTACTACCCCGCACTACCGTACGTACAAGTAATCAAATAATCAAAACGTTCCCTCTATTACGCTTTACATACACTCATTGCTCGTCTCGTATAGTATAAGGTCTATGTTTTATTAACGGATAATCCCTAAATCGAAAAAAATGGAGTTATCATCATAATTGAGAATCAAGCAGACTATAAAATATACATTTGAACTTATTTACCATCATTTTAAGGCATCGTCTTTAACATATTATCTTTTATAACACACAAGGATTCGGTTACGTCAAAACTAAGTTGGCGAAATTGAATACTTGTACAACACGACGATAACAACTAAGTTTTAATGTTACATTTATTAAAATTTTGTATTATTACATTTTATGTTCGTAGTTGGTTTTAGAGATCTCATATTCAAACAAACATTCACGATACTTGTTTTCCGTTTGAAATTGACGAGTGAGTAAGAATAAAATATATTATTTTTTTTTGATTTTGACAATTCATAACGAGGCCAACTCCACAAACAATTATCCTCTTTTACGGACGGCATTCAAACAGCAAGCAGCGGTGATATCGACGCATAATCGTGTATTTTTCGTGCAAGTAACCACTAATCACAAATATTATGCAAACTTTCAAAATGAATTGATTATTAGCTTAGTATCGACACTGCTGAAATGTTCGTTGGTTCGATGTACCTGGTCATTGAAAAAATACGACAAAACCTGCAAACATGCAGCCTCAATCTGCAGCTATTTGATGTTACATAATTGTATATATATATATATATATATATGAGAATATTATCGTTTGAGTATATTAGGTATGCTGGATGGTTATTTTAACAGTGAACAAATACTATACACTTTTTGAAAATAATAAAAAATTTTTACAGAATTTGAAGTCATTTTAAAACATATTTAAAAAAAATAAAAATATTTTATTACTTTTTTTATCTTTATTATTGAATAAGTAATTATTTTACATTCTAATTGATCAAATTCGTATCACGAAGCTAATTATTTTTCTGAGAATTTTTACACGTAAAAACATAATTTTTAACGAGTGGTTTATTAGTATACCTATAAGTAGTTAATTAAAGTTTAAACGAGTTGAGTGGAGAGGCTTTGGCGTACCCCGAAAAATATTGGTCCACTACCCCTCTAATTAAAACTTTAAATACTAGTTAGCAGTAACCTTCATGTTATATTCATTTGAATTTCGAATTTTCTGTATAGACATTTCAGTAAAAATTCTGCTTCGATGTATGAAATCAATTATGTATGTTTTCATTCAAACAAGTAAAAATACCAAAAACGTATAACGATAAAAAGTGTTGTGTTATTTCAAATTCAAATAATAGTAAATATTTTTTAAAATAACTTTAATAATTTTAGAGTAGATAATCACTGTTTACTATGAAAGGAATCATTCAATACATAATATTACACATTGTTATGATTTAATCGTATAGTGTGTGTGTTTTTTTTTTTTAAATTGAAAATTGTTTTTCAGAGCCATAGGTCTGGCTCATGATTGATTTTATGTTACTACTGATCGATATAGTTGAATAAAGGTCTTAACACCATACTATATGGACAATATGTTAATATTATTAAGTTTCTTCCATAATATAGCTCAGTAGTCTACTGACAGCAGGTTGTATTTAGTAGATACCTGTATAAAATATAACCTGTTGGCAATAATACCGACTTAGTATAATAGCTATACGGACTTTGAAGCTTTTGAGACTGTTTTGATTTTTTTTAACGGTTATACGTCTTATAAGACCTTATAAGGTCGTCGTTAAAATATAAAACACTCGTATGTAAGGTTGTCAGGTCACCCCTGTCTTATACACACATATATAATTTATTATATATATACACACACAATATTACCACAGTAGCCTTCAGTAGCCCAAATAAACTCTCTGCGGCGCACTAAACGCGGGTAAACAAATGGAAACGTTCGTGGAAAAATCCAGCTCCTACTCCTCCTCCTGCGGTAGGTCTTACCACCGCTGTCCTATCTTCGTTGCCGTGTAAATATTGACGAACTCAATGTGACTTCCTTACATTATAATAATTACAACCTGTCAATTGGAATGATTGCTTTTTTTCGATCGGTTATCCTTTAAACGTCAGTTTTTACGGGGCTGAATGTAACACAGGCACTGCAGCTCGCGTCCATCTTATACATACATAATATTATAGTCGTATATATTATTATTATAATTGTGTTTGTCTGGTGCGAAAGGTGTGACAGCAGCACTATATGAGCACAACGACGATGATGACTGATATGATAAAACGGTTATATCATTATAATATTATTAAAAAAAGTAAATGCCGTTAAAAACTCATAAAGTCACTAAGCCGTAAAGAACAGCGTACGCATATTTTACTTAATGAGGTGACAAACGAAGTATAACAAGTTCATCCATGCCCTTCTCTTATTTGTCCATATTATTATATAGTATAATAAAATATGTTGGGTATTATGATAATTTCATCGTTTGCGTTCGATTATTATAATTATCATCGTTTTTCAGCAATTTTGATTGACACTTTTAAAATTAAAACTCAACCGACTACCAATCAGGATTATATCTCAGTGGGGGCCATTAAAATATAAATAAACAAATATTGTAAGTATCTATCCTTATTTATTAAGTTAGAGTTTTTTAGAGTTTTCTTTGTGCGTTCTCCGTTCGGTGTCATATTGTTGACAGGTTCTCGGCAATTAACATTTTAGATTATTTATAAAAACGAGTTGCTTTATTGAATTAATATTCATATTTGAGTATTCATTTTTTATGTTGTTTTATTTTATTTCACACCAATATAATGATATTTTTTATCTTTGTCGTGTCACAGACTCTAAAAATATGTGTAGAAAAATAACTCAATCATACATTTAATATACATTGAGTGTATATTAAATATGTAATTGAGTTATTTTAGCTTGAGGCTAATGAATAGCTATATTGTTTTGTATGAGGCTTTTGTGGCCACAATAGAATTTCGTCAAACATTACTTTTGTTTTGTCTATTATTATTATAACAGTCTGTATTATTATTTCAAATTCTGGGTAATTTTATTTCAATACTTGAAAATGATATTCCACTATTCCATAAATGTAATTTTCTCTTTACTTTTTACCCTTATACCTACTATATGTGGTGATACCAACCTGCGGCAAATGCCAATACTTGCCCGCGTACAATAACCTTTCACAAGAAGGTTACTACAAATTAAAATATAAACTAAATAAAAAAAAAAACGATCAATTGATAGAACTGCACTAACTGCACTCCCTAGTAATTCATATCAAACGAACTATAACCGAATGATTAAATAGTATTGGTTATGATTGGTATGATACGTCTTGTGATGCATATATGGACCATAATAGACAGATAAAAAATTTAGTTTTAGAAATGCAATCCGCTTGCTTGGTAACATAACAATAAAATACGTTTAGGATATAATAAGTGGCGGTAAGCAGTGTACTATCATGTATTTTTCAACCATTTAAATTGTATTAATTAACACAGTTCAGCCGAATTATTTGACTACACAAAACTACAGTTTAGTAAATATAAAACCGTATAATACAATGTAATCCATACGTAAATAACCGTGTAATTAAATTCTTATTTTTAAATACTAAATGACGTATAATTACTTTTCTTGAGAAAAGCTTGCAACTTATGTCTACTATAATCGTAGGCGAGAGCACGAGTGCAGCAGACCGTTCATACGCATCTACTAATGCATAATCTTTTCTGGCGCTAGTTAAAGATTAAGGTTGGTCAACAAAAATTATTATTATAACTAACATTATATAATATAATGTTTACCTTATAACAGTAAAAATAATAATAAATCATATATCACTCTATTTTTAACAATATTAATATTTTATTTCAATGTTTATTTATTATTTAAAATGATATTTTGATTAAAACTATCACAATTATTATTACAAATATTAAATAAAATAATTAATATACAATAAAGTAACATAATTTAAAATAGATACGAATTCTATTCGTTTCTATTTTTTTTTTTGGAATTTGATTAATTTTTTTATCATTTGTTTTTATACCGTTTTAGAAAAAAATTGTCATAATATTTTTACTAACCAACTCATTCAAAATGTTTATTTGTTTTTTAATTGGAAACTTCAGAATAGCTATAATAATGTAGTTTTTAAAAGCTCATGTTCTATTTTTCTATTTTTCTTCACATTTACTGGAAAATAACAATATGAATAAAGCTGCAATAAAATATTTTTCTAATTTAAATCAAATTTATATTTTCATAGTAGGTGTATATAAGCAATAATAAAGTAATTTTTAATTTACTACCAAGGTACTAATATTTCACTCGAATTGTATTCGTTTATTTAAATACATACTCAGGTGTTATATTTTAAAACCAATTGTATAATATACATTTACGCTTTGGGACCATTTCTATAGTCAACGTTTTAATGAACCTTCATATTAAATTTTATTATGATCCCTGAACTATCTACAAAACATAGTTGTAGACTATGGACTATGGAGGGATCAAATCAGTTGCGAATTTAGGATACCATCTCTAGGTTTTTCTGCCATGAAACCGCAAGGCTAGTTAATCTCTACAAATAAATTTAGATTTTAAAAAATGTAAATTAGTATTTATTGGAAATAATAAGGTACATTTTTTCACAGAGCGTTGAATTATTATGCTTGACAAACATAGTTTAATAATTGTTTTTATGTAATGTATAAAAGTATATAATTTATGTAAATTTGTATATAAAGTAAGTAAATATTTGGTTTTATGTTCTTTTATATGTACGAAAGTAATAATAATAACTATTATAAATAAATATAAATAATTTTCACTCCTATCATTTACAAAGAGCACAATGTGATCAATATTAAATGATTTATCAATACTTTATTTACAAGGGAACATAACTGATATAACAGGATAATACAGGACGGCAGGTTAACGTACAGAAACATTGTGTTAAACATATTTTGTCTATCAAAGATCGCTTCGTAAATTCGTGCTTTTATTTGGTATCACCATAAGTATTTGAATTCAAATTTCCTTTAAAATGTGTAGGTAGGCATATAGAAAAAAAACTTATTGTTATAATAAAAAAACATAATTACACTTTGTAGGCGATGATTATATTTGTTTGAATAAATATTTTATATGATTTCAGATAATTTATTTCAATTATAATCATAAATAGATTATACAACTGTTTTGTGGTAGGAATGTAATTATGATTAAATATTCATTTTTTGATTATTTCGATATTCGAATTTCACTGATTTCTGACGTCGTATCTACATTTACATTTATTTCAAAACACTAGTAATTGTTTCAACTTTTGCGATTGACAACAAAAAGTTGAAAAATGGCAAAAAACGTATTTATAATTACCTATATATTATGTATATTATTAAAACCCTAGTTCATACACTTGTCTTGAAAATTAAAAGCAAACATAATTAAAGTTATGACTAATGTTAAGATTATATACAAACACACTATGTGTGTACATATCATGTTATTACCTATTACTTTAGTAAAGATAATACAGTGATAAAAACCATTAGCATATTATTCTACATACATGTTTAGATATGTACATAGGTAATAATACACAGGTGTCAGAGAGCAAACATACCTTTCATATAATATATATCTTATCTTATTTTAATATATTATACTAGTTTATTAAATATACATAAATTATATTATGTCGTTAATTTAGACTGTACTTTAATATTGACAACGACGTAACAAATGTGGCAAAATTAATTATTTAAATATTATATTTAATTAATTTAGTTGATTAATAATAACAATATTCATTTTGGTTTTTAAATATCTACACAATATAAAATGTACAAATATGCATAGTATTAAAAAAAAATTATATTATATTATACATAGGTTTATTTACATTTTAATTGAATTATATTTTCAATCATAAAATTTTCATGTATACTTGAAGTGTACGTATAAATTAATTTTGACAAAATCATATTCAATCTTAAAGTAAAATATATATACAACAGCTTACGTATAATCATAAATGTGTTTTAAATTTATGGTGTAAACACACGTATTAAAATTACATGTTTAATAATATGCCTGATTAAACATATTTTTATAATAGTTTGTACTTATTATTTCATGATTATTTATAAATTATAATATGTTATTAGGGAGTTATTTGTATTACTATATCTCAACATGTACGATAGGCGTCCTTGCGCAATTCAAAAACGAACGCATGCGCCGAAGGGACACTGGGTGGTTCTGCTTTGAAAAGGACCGCTGAGTTTATGAGTGTGTTGCTATTCAGTCACGTTGCCACGATGGTCTCGGCTACCCCTGTGTCGATCAAAAAGCCAAATCGAGTACGTAAAAAAAAAATGATTAAAAGAAAAATAGAAAAAAATAAAATATATTTTTAATGTATATGAACTTACCCTGCAGAGTAAAAAAAAAACAAATGCTCTTCACTAAACGAATCCTATATTGTTTTCAGATAAAACGTTATTTTAACGTCGACTATCACTTATTGATATGTTGTTCACTGGCGATTGCCGTGTACGCGAATACTCTGAATGCTGGTTTCGTGTACGACGACAAGTAAGACAATATGAATATTATTTTTATTTTTTTGAGAACATTTTATAGGACTGTTGATTTCTGTTCAACTAAAGGACATAGGGTAGGCCACCAATTACTAGGCGTATAGAATATATGAGTACAACGGTAACGGTATGTGACAATTGTAAAAGCCATATGGTTCCTTTTATTTTAACACCTCCAAGAATATTGCATTATTGTGCAATAGAACAATCAATTTTATTTTATTAAAAAAGTATCATACAATAAAATAAAACTGTTTTTTTTTTTTATAATTTAAATGACATCACTTTTTACTAAATGTTAAGTCGATGAAATTTTTTTATAAGTCCAGTTGGTATTAATACATTTTAAATACCTTATGTTAAAAAAATTATATAGAGATTTTAAAAATTATTTTTTTTAAAAGCTTAATATTATTTCTATTATTAATTGAAAAATTAAAAGATTAAGTACTTTTTTAACACAGTTATTATTTTTATGTGAACTTAATTTTTGCTGAGAAATGAAAATCAAAAAATGCCTGATATTTTTTTTATGAATATTATGGTGGATTTAGTTGTATAGGAAATGATTGAATTATAATTATTATGTTTTATGTTTAAGTATATTTAAATAAAATCAATTTAAGCAGGATGATAAATCCTAAAATACCAAATATTACTTGAATAACAAACTATGACAGTAAGGTTGCTATTAAAAACAAATTAAGTAATTGAGTTGTGATAATATTATAAGATAGCGTCTATATTCATTCAGCATTATACGTATTATTTAATGATATATTGGTTTGTTACGAATTTCGGAGTAGTGGTGTTATTTTAATATGTTTTAGAACAGATCTACAATAAATATTCCTTTGTGCTTGGAGACAATTTTAAGATACCAGCGTTTTTGTACGTTTAAGCCATAGAAATATTTGTGCTATTAGTTATAGAATTTATGGTAAGTACCTATACCACCGTGTGGTAACATGGTAATGGGAAAAAAGCAATCGTGTAATTTTCGATTACGTTTTCATTTTTTTTGTGTTGTCTTTTTCCCGTTTAACTCGTTTTGTTTTTACCACTTTTTTATTTAAAAGTTTGGCGCACGTTACAGCATTATAATTTTATTGTAGCCAATGCAAAAATACTAACCGTATAGCGGCAATTGCATTTGTCCTCTTGGCCACATATCGCATACAAATTGCCGCATTACAACGACAAAATCCCATAGACTAAACTAGACGATGATAATACGAAAAGCAAATACGAAAATTATCCTAATTTTGACCCAAAATCTTGTTTAAAATAACAATAATAATAGCCTTAAATCGTAATATTTAAATCGAAGTCAAGAAACCACGATAATATGCCTTTGACATATTATATTTTAAAAAGAAAGTAATATATTATAAATACTAACGGCTTTAAAAATAATTATTTAATAATACCTACAATGAATATAATTTTTCTATTTAATACTATAATACTATTGTTAATTTTAAAAATTAAAATGTCATTCTCTGGCTTATTCCTCGCATTATATATTATATAATTATATTATTTATAATATTATCCTGTAAGATTTATACTTTTTAAATAAATAAAATAATTTAGATGAAGGACAGTGTAAACGTAAATGAGAACTCTTAGTCCTTAAATAAACTCATAAGTTCCTTGTATGACAGTGCATTAGTATGTCTATTATTTTATATAGAGAGTAATTCACTAAATATGTCAACCCTTTTCTTCTTCAATAATGCAGTTACTCAAAATCTGTTTGCTAAAATATTTAAATATACTTATAGACCATGTTTTCAAATTCTTAATTATTTTTTGTATTGCTTAAAAAATGTCATGTAGAGAGACAAACTTATGTTTTCATCGCTACTTTAAGTTATTTAATGAATCAAATTCAAACGAGTAGTATTTGATTTACTTGACTTTGTGTACAAATGAAAATTTATAGGTAATAGGTCCATAACAATAGATTTGGAATTGAAAGACGATTTTAATCATTTTATTAATCTATCAAAATTGTCCAAGTATAATAAATTTGATTATCCAAAATAACATACATTTTATATTTTTGTAAAACTATTTGAAGGACAAAAAATTATTCTGAAGACAAACATTTTAATAACTGAAAAGCTAACTGTGGGAATTTTGAATTAGGTAATAGGTACATCAACATTTTCAAAAAAAATATCCACTAAATGATTTGCTTTGAAAGGAGCCGTGGGTTCTCATTTGAAAATTAAAAGTTTGTATTTGACACAGAATACTTAGGTAGTACAAAAAGTCTCAAGAATTTGAAAATATGGTCTTAAAGTATGTTTCAAAATTCCAAAAATCAAAATTTGAATAAATTCATTATTAAAATGAAATGATGGGGATGAACATGCTTGGTGAATAGCCTTGTATAAATACATTTTAAAATTTTAAAGAAACGCACTAGAATAATAAAAAAATTAATATTTATGAAACTGGTTACAAAAACTTTAGGTTACATCTATAAATACGTTGAATAAAATACTTATTTTTATTTATTGTGAAAAGCCAAATTTTTCTTGTTCTTAGTAGCTTATGCAACGAAATGTGAACATATTATTATTATTCCTATATAACATATACTACATACAGTCCATGATCATCTATAATAATTCGCTCAGAAAAATGAAGAAAAAGAAATAACTAGATTTTAATATGTTTAATTATTGAATTATCTCACAATGTACTATTTTATTGAATTTACTATTTTAGGACTATTATGATTAACACCACGTATAAGAAAACTTTAACTGACTAAATATTAAATAATCCTAATGAGTTATAAGATCTTAAGTATTCTAAATTTATAAACATATATTTTTATTTTATTTTATGCTTTTGATGTCGAATTATTAGCGCATGATTATAATATTATTTAATATAATTATCATTCTTGTTAAATTTATGAGAAAACTAAAAATAATTAAAAAAAAAAAACTTTTACATCTCATAACTTAATATTGAGTAATTTTTAAATAGGCAATGCTTCACACTTCCATTCAAGAATTTTGTTTGCAAACTTTCCAGCCTGGAGTTTTAATTATTTTTTTATTCAGAAAATGTGAATCTTATAATTTATAACCCTGTTAATAATTCAAACAAATATAAATAACAAAAATAATTGTTAGCATACCAGTTTCACGAACAGGCGTTTATGTGATACATAATATTATTGTGACAAATTATTATCAAACTAAAACATAATATTGAATTATGCATGTTTATCCGATTAGTCTGGACTCCGTATCGTTCAAATGTATATTTTAATTTAAAAAACATCAATCGGAAAACTGATAAGTCTTCCTAGGCTTAGGTATAACTAATAACTTTACTGTTTAGACAATTTAATGTTATTTTCTATCGTGTCTCATTGTTATTCGACGCCAAAGTTGTTGCGAAAAAAAAAACTTCGAACATTGAAAACCAATCGAACATTAAGCCAGAGTTATAATAATTTCGCTTTTGCAATAATAAGAAAGTATGCGCATACGCCTATCAAAAAGAAACGTGTAAAACGTAAAGAAACGGTTTTTCTCCAATGAAAGCAATATTTTATTCCGCAGCTGGGCCCCCCGTTATTAAACGTCGGAGCGATTTAATGACAAATTAATGTACCACTACTCTTCCCCCCCCCCTCGCCAACCTATTGCACAGCTGCCTATGGTGTATTTCTTTTTCTTATATATTTGCCCGTATAGTTAATTGTTTTTTCCTCGTTTGTTTAAAACCCCACGAGGCGTTGAGAATTAATGGCGCGGGGCGCGCAGGGACAAAACAATACGAGACGGAGCGGCGACGACGGTGACGGTTGTGGGCCCGACGGGGAATATGATAGCGGAGGAGCGAAACGGAGAGGAATGGTCCGAGGCGAAAAAGAACGCAAAAATAAAATGAAAAAATGTCGGTATTAATTTTAATGAGCTCTGGGGATTTACTATTAAGCCTAATGAACAAAACAAGGGAAATGTAAAGGATTATCGAGACTCATTTAGACGTATTTTTTAGAAGCCTACACCCCCTAATAGCTGGTTACCGCCGCCGCCACTGCCGCCGACTCTGCACGAGTGGGAAATTTCCATCAGTCAACAAGATGAATTCGCGTAGACCGTGTTGGTTAGGAATAATAATAATAATAATAATAATAATAATACTAATGGTAATAATAACAATAACAATGACAATGACAATTGCTACAACGATGACGACAACCATAACAACCGCTCCGCCGCCGCAGTGGAGTACGCGAATATTATGTAACGTATTATATAGTGCGCACAACAGTGATAGCGCTGAGACTGAGAAAATTGAATTTTTGATAAATCACTTTGGGGAGGGTGTAATAATATACATATATATTATTATGCGATACTTAATTGTACGCGGAAATGAGATTTTCCGTCCTAGGCCCGACGTCATAATATTACCGTCACCGTCGTCTCTGCGTCGCGATCAACACTGCACGGAGCAGTGTTCAATTGTTTTTCTTCATCGAGTCCTGCACGGTGTTGCGGATAGTACCTACCCATGTCTCTCGCTCACCCACTCTCTCTCTTTCCACGCGATAAAGTGAATAATTCATGTAAAACGTTCGTAGATATATATAGCACGCGTCTTGGGGTAATTGGCGTGTATTTTATGTGCGCCCTGTGTCGCGAAATACACCCTCCGGCCGTTTAACGCCGCCAAACTCAATTTCGTTTCTTTGTACTTGCTGTTTGTAATTGCGTTCGGCGCACATCCTTCCCCCCTTCCATCCACACATCAAAATAAAATTCCTATGAACTTTTTTCGGACAGAAAAAAAAACACTTCAAACTCGAAAAAAAAACTTTTATTAGTCCCTGTGCACAGTAAATAATATCTGAACCAAAACCAAAGCCAACCCCCCCCCCCTCCCGCCAGCCGACACCGTGTGTTTCGTCGTCGAACGTGGATTGTTCGATCGAATCCAAATGTGGCAGCTAATCATGGAAATGCAACCCCCGACGTTTTGGTTATTTTCTTCGAAGCGCGTTAATCTAATTTGATATTTTCCGAAAAGTTTGTACCACTAAAATGTCAACCATTGTTTTCCTTTATACGGTAATTAGCGTCGAAAACTTCCGTTGCCATGTTGGTATAGTGGTTTTTTACTCATTGATGTGTCGTTATAGAAGTTTTCAAACACTACTAAACTAAACACCAAAACATCTCGGCAACGTGATTTTCAACATTTTACCGAAAGTTGCTCTGACAGCTATTTCTCATTAATCTGTATTTCCATTATGAATGTATTTATTATTTTGACCATCGTTCTATTATGGTGTTAAATTAATTAATTACTTGCTACATCGTGTCTCTTCTATATCTCTAGAAACAACATTTTAAACCCAAATAAAATTATTTACAATATTAAAGAGCATACTATTATATTAGCGATGTGATTATTTATGTCTTGGAACTTATCTTAAAAAAATATGTGTACAAAATACATTACCGTATTATTAAAATAATCTCATTTGGTGTTCGGATTTCATTGTGTTGAAGTACCATTCATTTTTGCTATGACGTTTTAATTTTTAATTTTATTTCGTTGCCGTTGTTGTATAAAAACATTAAATAATTAATTTACATTTGAATTTTATTAAGTTACTTAATAATTAAGTGGATTGTCTCAAACTTTTACGGTGTTTATTTTAATATTAATTCAGTTGACTCTGCGATAAAATAATTGTTTTACTCCATAGCTCCGGTCATAAAGTAAACATTCCTGTTTGTATTTTATGAGTGATCAGCGACTTATAATATTTTATTACGGTTTTTAATATTTTACAAATTTAACATATTTTAATAAAATCGTTAAATATTTTGATGAGTTCTGAATAGCATAGATTTCCTTTCAGTACAAAATGTTTGGCTTATTTATAATACAATAACATTCAACATACTCTTAAGATTTGAGATATTATTGTTACTATAACAGTGCAGAGTTAATAAAAGTAATTGTGTATGCCAATCAAACTGACATATTCATATTAAGAAGAGGTTAATCCAAAATAATTTCTTTTTATAAAACTTGGTGAATTCCTAAGTCACTGCAATCTTATGACCTACAGTCAACAGAAAGAATACCTATGTGTTTAACAAGCATAACAATTTTATATCTAAACAAATATACCAAATCTATTAATAGTATTTAAAACAAAATATTAATTCAATAGTTTATACAGTTGAAATCATTTTTAAACTTTGTATCCATAGGAAAAACTATAATTTTGTTTTTGAATCACCATTCACCCTACATATTTTATTTTTAATTCATTAGTAATTAATAAATTAATAACTATTATAACTATTATTTGTTATACAGTATTATGAGCATTGTATTTTAATTAATAATGACATTATTTAATTATTTAACTTAAGAAGCTTAAAATCATAATAAAATTTATTAATTGCCATAGTATTTTACTCTTTTAAATTAATAATATTTTAATATTGCATATTAAAAGAGATCAAACAGTGTACACATACAACTGATTATTTACGTATTTGTTTGTCAATTATTTGTAAATCTATACACTATTATCAAAGTGTAGTCCAAACAGTGGTGTATTAACCCTCAGTTATGGTACGTGATAAAGATAAGTACCTATGCATTAAGATGAACCGCGAAAATACGAAACAGACAGTAAATTTGAGGGCGAGCATTGTTGCGGTACTGTATTTAAACGCGTCTGGTGAGAAATGATTATTGAAAATTATAATGACCCCAAACAGAGAGGACATCGTGCTAATGACAGAGTCCACGTGAATGGTGTGGGCAGAGGAATACAAAGTAAATCGCATTGTATCTCGTTATGAATATCATCATTTCTTTATGGTAATGGTATTCCTGTTTGTTATTCAAGACCAGCGGTTTCCGAACCACGTTATTATTATAAGATTTGTTCGTTGCGAGGGACAGGGTGAAAGTGGAAAAAAGGAAAAAGAATCGTTAACGAAGGGATTATTTTACTGGGCTCTACTGGCAGTCATTTCTCTTTGAAACTTTATTCTGCCTTTGATGTGAATATAAAAATGTATATAATACTCGTGCATACACTCGCACAGGTACATAATGCTCAGGAAATTATGTCGGTGAGTCGTTGGCCCTCATTCAAAATGTCGTAAAAGCTGCTCTTTTGCGAATACTTCCTTATAATAAATCTTTTTTTGTATTTTTATTTTATTATTATTATTATTATATACAATTTTTTTTTATGTATATAATGTTTCTAATAAAATACTTCTGTACTAAAGATGTTATCTTGTCGGTTCTGAAAACCACGAAAACTCTTTGAAAACTTTCAATAGCAGCCTAACCTTCAATAAAAATTTAAATGTTTTGTTCATGATAAATAAATAATAATAATGACAAAAAGACCTAAAAGATTATACGCCAACTTTCGAACGTAATTTATATGCTGCTCGTGCATTTGATGACGGCGAGATAACTTACTTTTGAATTATAATTTAAATAAACTTATTGTTGATCAGATTTCTTATCAAAAAAATAACAACTGTTGTGCTAACGGGAAGTATATGCCTCTATATCATATTTTAGTAAACATTTACGATATTACAAAATACGTACCGATATAATTTAATGATTTTTCATTTATATATATTTTTTTAAAGTGTTTTAAAATATTGTGTGACTTACAAATCTAAAAGTTGAGAATTCCCCTTAAATCTATATCTCATGAATTTAATAGTGTTTAAGAATTAAAACTTCTGTTTGTAAATACTCTCCAACAAAGATAGGAGATGATAAGGATTGAAACTAAAGTCTTAATTTCTGGAAGTAATTCTACTACTCCCTTTTCTTTAAATGGTTTTTTAAACAAACTATTTTACTAGGGGTATTTAAAAAAAAAACAATAATTAGGTCCATAATCAATTGGATTTTAAACCTTATATTTAATGCTTTAAATTAAATACTACATTTTTGTTTTTATAAATTAAAGAATATTAACAGTTGTGGTCGTTGTCGCAAATTAACTGCAGTATAGTTAAATTTAGATTTAAAAAAAAAATCAGGACGTCACTCTGCTGTATATAGAATATGTCAAGTGTACTTAGTCATGTCATTGATATTATGATAAATTTTAATTAAACGATAAGTCATTGCATCCAAAAAACTCATCTATATCCTCAAGTAGCCTGTCTAGTAATTTAATTGTCTCTTAGTAATACGATAGAATTGAACTAATTTTTACCAGAAACAAATCGCATAGTATATTAATTTTTTTATACTTTATGGTAATTATTATGGTGCTACTAACCGTTGTTAACTATTATAAAGCAATTCCGATGTACAGTAAAACGGTGTGAACAGGTTTATGGTATAAGTAGCTTAAAATTAATTTAAATATTTTGAAAACGTATTGTGTGTATGGTAAACAATAATATTAATTAAGTTTAAAAAAAACTAAAACAGTTATTTTTCGTTTGAACTTTAAATATTATATAATTTCATCAAAATTTGAACTAAAATGTTCATTAAAAAAATTGTCAGTTGTATTTTTAAGACTTTTAAGTTTCTGCAAGCCAAGGTTGGCTTGTGAAAAATGTTGAATTAAGCTTAAAACCTTAACTATAAAAATTTAAATAAAATGATAATGTATTTTAACCATTAATTGGGTTGTTTTATTTGATTTTTAGTCGAGCAATAATAGCGAATGAAGACATAAGACCGTCGACCCCGGGCTCGAACCTTTGGTGGAATGACTTTTGGGGCACGCCGATGGGTACTGGAAATTCACATGGTTCGTACAGACCGATCACCGTTTTGACGTACAGATTCAATTACAGGTTATTTTTTTTTTTAAACATATTAGTTAATCCTGCTCCGTCTTAACAATACGCGTACCTCAGTATGTTAGAATAGAGCATTACATTTTTCTTTATTAAAACAATTTGTTATATAATATATTAATCCAATTATTATAAACCCACATGGCAATTTGATGAACTGCTAAAATACCCTGTGACCTTAGAGCACCAATATTGTTTATGACTTATTTATGTGTGTGAAATATATAAAAAAAACATCCATTTAATGAAAAATGCTACCCACTCACTTATCAGACCATCTTCTGTAGTAAAATAATTTCAATTATTTAAGTTATTTTTAACTTTTAATCCTCGCGAAATTTACGAAGACATTTTCACAATAGGATAATAATACGAATAGCTCCTTATTTTATTATAAGTTACGATGATTGGGATATAATTAATAAATTTAAGTTGAAAAACTTTTTCGTTGTTATTGTCATCCTCGTTAGTAGTATTTAATAGTTACAAGAACTAGATTCCTAGAAAAGCAAAGTTCAAAACCTTGGGGGTGCAGAACCGTTCTCTATCATGAGCATCGTCACTATTAGAGCCCCCTGGGAGATTGTTGATGGTTAGATTTAAGTCGAAAATGAAACTTTGACTAAAAGGGGACCCCCATATCATTTTAAATAAAATAAGTAATACAATAAGTATACCTACTATGATGATAAAATTGATATTTCACCTGGAATGGAGTATTGGTATTCCTCAGACACAAAACGTGTTTTGATTTCAAGCATTGGCCGGTGTCACTAGTTCCCGGTTGGGTGACCACCCGGATTTTATGACAAACCCTTGTATAATAAACACGTGTTCCGAACAACCGAATCGAACCCAAATGCTCCATGCTTAAGGTCAACAAAAAAAAAATATGTATATATATTTGTATTGATTAATATTCGCATAACCTATGAATGTTTATAAAATATCATTGTCAATAATCTTATTGGATGATTCGATTTCTATATAATCAAAGGAAATATGAACTTGTTAAAAATTTATTTTTTTTTAAACTTTTTTACTCAACTAGTTAATTATTTTTGTTTTTTGCTTATTAACTTATTCAGTTAAAATGTTTATTGTTTAACTAACTTTTTCTAGTTAATAATCATTATCGTGCAGTTAAGTTAATTTTAATTTATAAAAGCGCTTTTCTGATGCAAAAAAAGCGGGAATCTTCAATTTTGTATTTATGTAGCCTATAAGTTTGAAGTTTTTGGTAATAATTTACTATACTATATACTACTATAATAACAATTTAGTGTTTTATGTTTACAGTGTTAAACAATGCTCCGTGACACTATGTCTTAATAAATATTTGTGTAAAACAAAATACTAGAGAAATTGATGAATTATGAATATTGTGGCTTGAAAAAAATATAACTTTTTTTTAACTGAGTTAAGTTAGTTTTATTTTCTATTTTAATTTGAAACTAATCGAGGTAATTTTTTTCTTTGTTAACTTTTAACTTGACTAGAGGCAATTTAATTTAACTAACTTAACTAATAGTCACAGTTAATTATTTTCATGACCTTGCCCACCTTTGTATATTATAATTATAATGTGTGTTTTTTTATAGTCAAATCACGAAATATGTATTGGGTAAAAGTCGACCTGATGTGTGTTTTGATTTTCCTCATGTCCATATAATCCATGGTAGTAAATCCTCAAAATTAATTTATGATCATATATACAGGTACATATGGATAGACAATTTTAATTATTTTACACACATTAAACCCATGAGAAATTTTTTTATGCAACGATTTGGATTTAAACTAAGGGGGGGGGGGCTAAAACTTTATTAAACGGTGGTAAATGTAGCCCATTCCATATTTACGCCGATGATGGTTTATTACACTAACTCGATATCAAATTTATAGAAGTATTTCAAAATGCGTTTCGCAGGTTTTCGGGGCTGAAGGCTACGTCGTACCACGCTACGAACGTAGCACTGCACGGACTGGCCACGGGCCTGGTGCTGTCCGTCGCCCGGACCGTGACGAGCCGGCGGGGAGCACTGCTGTCCGCCGCCCTGTTCGCTGTGCACCCGGTGCACGCGGACGCCGTGGCCTCGGTGGTCGGCCGAGCTGACGTGCTGTCGTGCGTCTTCTTCCTGCTGTCGTTCCTGTGCTACGGCCGGCACGTGCGAGCCAGGGACGGCCATCGGCACCGTGGCCAACAACAGCATGGGCTCAGCGGTCGGCGGCCGCAACCGAGCTGCAGCAAGAACGGTGACGGCCGTCCTGCGACCGCTTACCTGGTGTTCTGCGTGCTGTTCGCGCTCCTGTCCATGCTGTCCAAGGAGAACGGCATATCCGTCATGGCCGTGTGCATCGGATACGAACTCATGCTGCGGCTCAGATCCATCAAGAGGTGGAACAAGGTGAGTGCCCCAACAATACAGCAATTACACATAATGTATTTTTTTTTTTTTTTTTATTAATCTTAAGCTTCGGCAACTGAGGCCATTAGCTGTAGTAGAATTTGTATTGTAGGTTTGTATTGTATATTTTTTGGGACGGTAGGGGGGAACACGTGTGTGTTTGTTTTTGGCAGAATTTCGAATGGGGCACCCGTAGGTTTCTGCCATGCCCCGGGGGTGGGGGATGGCAGCACTTGTTCTCCGGTCACCGCGACTTGTCCGGAGAAAAATGCCGCCTGGTAGCCGAGGATCGAACCGCGACCGGCTGCGTCGCAGCGGACGCGTCAGACCACTCGGTCACCTCATCCCCCACACATAATGTATTATTTATTGACAAGTCAAATACATCTCGTTATATAATATTTTAATGGTAGCGCGTGAATAAAGAATTATTTAAAAATGAGAACACCGAATAGCCAAAATTAACAAGTATATTTAAATTATACCGGTTGATTCATCAAGCATGCTCATCCCTCTTTCTTCAATAATGCAGTTATTCAAAATCTGATTTTTTTGATTTTGAATATACTTTAAACCATATTTTCAAATTCTTGAGATTTATTGTCCTCCTCAGGAAGTGTCCTGTAGAGATACTTACTTCTGTTTTTCAAATGAGAACACCCCTATTCAACTGTACAATATACAAAAGAGATTTTTTCTGACATTTTTTATGTATCAAAATCCAAATTTTTACGAGAAGTTGTTGAGTTATTTAACTTTGTGTTCTACGGTACATCCTAACCTATGGTATCTTTTATTCGTGGTATAAACATTACACCCGGTAACACATCAGAAGCGCTTTTTTTAGTATACTCAAGAGCACATGATTACTGAACATGTTTAGATTCATCAACATGTGAAAACATCGGCTTAGTTCATTACTTATATATCATAATATTATGATGTAAGTGGTTATTCAGCATGAGCACAAACTATACCGTCGATTATCTTCAAGTACCCATCTGATCTGTTGGTGAGTTTATTGCCAAGTAGAAGGAACATAATATAAGATTTTTGGAGATTCGATCGAAGAAAAATGAATTCACAATATCTTATATAAAATATTTAGTAAAAAGTTGCAGTACATTGTTTCAATTTTATCATCACCAATGTTCTTTTACAAAAATAAGTCTTTATGAAAAAGTGTAAGGAAAGTCCACTCGACAAGCATGCTAAATGGCCGGTTTCTTAACCTTAACATATATCTTGAACATTAAATACTATAATATTCCATAATGTACAATTTTAAAACAATTTGATAACCTAGTATAGTCAGTGTTACTACAGTAGTAACTAGTAAGTATACACTGCTAGGCTGTGAACAACTTACATAAATTTAAAGTCTTAACTATCAAATATTTGATAGGAAGTTTTTTAAATTTAATTTGTTGGGCTGCATAGAAAATTGATTTCTTTAATGGTTCAGTAATATCTTTATGAATTGTACTGAGACACCACTTTATTAAATGTTGACAATGTCTACTGTTCCTAATCCACTCCTTCTTTGCGACTTATTGTCATAATAGAGACCAAAAAAATATCATAATATAATCATAATTAATTACGATTGAGAGAGAGAGAGAGAGAGAGAGAGAGAGAAAGATCTCATGCTGCGGCTCAGATCCATCAAGAGGTGGAACAAGGTGAGTGCCCCAACAATACAGCAATTACACATAATGTATTTTTTTTTTTTTTTTTTTTAATCTTAAGCTTCGGCAACTGAGGCCATTTATAGCTGTAGTAGAATTTGTATTGTAGGTTTGTATTGTATATTTTTTGGGACGGTAGGGGGGAACACGTGTGTGTTTGTTTTTGGCAGAATTTCGAANGAGAGAGAGAGAGAGAGAGAGAGAGAGAGAAAGATCAATCGACCATTCTCAAATTGTGTTTATAAGTAGTAAGTAGCTACAAGATAATATTCCAAAAATCATACAATACGTGATGTTTAGGTACGTTAATATTAGTTAACGATTTTCACTTGACAAGCACATCATTAATGTACGTTATATTGGACTATGTGTGTAGGTCGTTAATTAAAATAACTTATTCTTGCTAACAATACACCTTTCATAATTTAAATTACCGATGTTGCACAAACATACGTTGTAGGTAGGTACCTATACCAAATTCGTCAATAGTCTTAATTAATTACGTACTTACAATCAATAGAAAATAAAATGTACTTGGATTACATCAAATTTCAAACTGTTTCCCACATGTAAGTTAGTAGTTATTAATTTAAAAATTAAGCTTTTGTTTATTATAATTGATAATACTTTTTCATAAAAAAAATGGATACATGCAATAAATATATTATTGAATAATCGAGTTTTAAATCGACAAAATAATCTTAGATTTAAATAACTATTATGAAAGTATAATAAAATTGGCTATACAATATAGTTAAATTATGAATAGGGGACATTATTTTGAATTATGGCAATCGTAAAAGACACTAGTTGCTGTCGAGGGATACGTTATTGAAAGAATAATAAGAGTTTGGAATAACGATTATGTGGTTTTATTTATTCATTTTCAAAATATATAAGTAAACCATTATATCTCTTGAGGAATTTCGAGAATATTATTTTAAAAAATATGAAAATTCTAAATTCCAGGAATTTTTTATTTCTAACAATTTTTTATAGTTCAAACATACATACAAAATAATAAATATACTATAATATATATAATATGTTAGTGTTGCTCTGTTTAAAAATAGAATAAAACAACAATAATAAAGTTCAATGAAAATGAAAGCTTGGCATTTCGGTCGATTCACTCGATTCTCCTCCACCCTGTGATGCTCATTAGTGTTTCATTGTTTCCACCACTTATAATACAATATTATCGAAACGCACAGCATTATGACATCAATGATATAATTGCACAATAAAGTTATATTTGATTTCATCTTTATCGGCTAAGACATAATATAAGCGGTATAGTGCGTGTTTATTTCACAATAGTATTGGTTACGAAACGTCTGAATTGATTTCCGAATACCTAAAATGAATAATTATTTTAATATTTCGTAGCTTAAAAACCATTCGTCAAAACGATTTCAACTTTGCGCAAATAATTATTAATAGATTAAGTCTTCGATTTTCTCTTCACATATATGCTGTGTTCAAAAAATATATGTAACCCGTTAATTGTCTGAGTAATTTTTCTTCCGGTTGTTGTTTTTGCGTCCGTACTAAACGGTTTCGTAACTCATGTTTGCCGAAAGTTAATGGCTAGCAATGTAAATTCTGGTCGTCCAGATAAAAATATGTCCCGACGTTGAGAGTTTAAATTGAAAAAAAACGCTGTGCAATTCAATGTCGAATTCGGGTTCCAATTCAAAATATCATGTAGTGGAAGTTTTTTAATGATAAAAAAAAAAAATAGTACACGACACGTTAAGAATACGTGATATTGATAATACCAAATAACACAAATAACGTATTATTAACTGCGTGTACCCATCATGTGCACAATAGGTAGGAGGTATATATACGTATATAGTATATTTATAGACGAATTCTTGCGATACCGGAATAATGTGCGCCTAGTCGAACGTTACCTATTCGGCTATTTATTCAATGCAAATTGTTTTCAACAGTCAATATAACCTAGGTAATGACGTAAAGGCATTGTTTACAGTATAGGTATTGTATAATACAGGTATATCAGAGTTTAATATTGACAAGTCCCCGCGTGCTGGAACCTTTGAAAGAGCCGTGCGGTATCGCGATCCACACACATAATATATATATCATACATATATATGCGATGCCCCGCCCCCCGACAATGCATACGGCGGCGCCCGCAGGTCGGGCATACCATACACCTACACACACATAAGTCGTATATTATATACATTTACTGTTTACATACAATATATATATATAGCTATTGTACGCTATAGGCGCTTTGTGCGTGTGTGTTTGTGCACAATAGCTTCCGGTTATGAGCTGCTGCAGTGACTGCAGCTTGCGGGTGGGTCGGGGTGTATAGCAATTATTGCAGTGCCTTATAATGTAATGCTGCGCCCTTACGTGATATTGATATAATGGTATCGCTATCGCGTCGAAATAACTATAGTGAAAAAAAAAAAACCGTTAAATAATCATACCTACCTCCTACCATATAGGTATAATATTACGCGTATTGTAATATCGTCTGCCCGCAATGAGGGCAGTATAGGGAGAATGGACGATAACGCCAAAACCGGACGGAGAAGCTTTCGAAATCGAAAAAAAAAATCAAAAATATGATATAATGTACATTAAACGTCGAGACCCAATCGGAGGTTCGGCTCGCGGTCCGCACTAATTACGCATTGAATATCGCACACGAATCGAATAAATTAAAAACCGGCGCAAAAGCCCGCGGTGCAGCAGTATTGTAATATGCATAATATGTACCCTTATTATATTATACGTGGAATATAAAATCAAATCGGTGAATTATACGCGTTCACGAATATCGCGTTAACGTCGAGTCGTACACGTTTACCCTAATGACGGCGCCGGGTCTCGTCGTTTCATATTATATTTTAGGATTATAAATTCCAAACCGTCTCGGTTGTTTCGTGATCGAAATAATGAACGTCGAACGCACTCCAGAGGTTTTATTTATGCACACCTATACATTATAATAAATCATGATAGGTTTTACATTGTTATAATAATAATATTAAACATGGGCAAAACTCACGTCGGCAGTGTCAATATTGTACTGTAATTTATTATATAATATTATAATGGGTAATGATGATTACGCGAGATCATTTTTATTCGATTTCGTATCATCGTACATTAGCAGTGAGGCCTACAACAGTGATGGTGATGTCAACGTCACTGGCTCACTGCCACCGCAAAGGCGGTCCATAAAATAAGGTCACAGCGTTTTAATAAGTCAATTAACTTGGTATTCGTATTTATTAATTAGGCATAATATTTTATAGTATCTAA